TGCGCAAAACACTAGCCGCAATGGTGCTAGATTGACAGATATGCACCTCCTCGTAACAGCATTGAGGCATCTCTGTTGACACTGGACTAGCATAACTCATATTGCAGCAGCGTTGACGAGAAACACGTGCCAGGTAACGGCCAAACCAGCGGCTGTAGAAGTGGTGATGTATCTTTAGATCTGATGGCCGCAGTGTGGTCACATGGATCAAGTCTCCGCAGCGAGATTCACAGAGTTAATGGTACATGTACGTGGCGACACTTTAAATTCCCACCGTCTGAAAAATCCACACCACACAAGCGGCTGTTGTGTTACTGCTTCGTTACAAGCCTTATTACACGTGTGACGCAGACTCGAGTTTCCGCATCCCCGGCAAACTTATTGTACGTTAAGAGACAATCCTAGCTATATGAAGGCGGGTGTTGGCGACTGTACTCACCACCGCCGCTACAAGCTTCTGCTTCGGCCGGAGATGTGTTGTACATACGCCAATATACAGCATTGACAGGCACATGTACTTGAAACAATGTGTTGCGTTGCAACGCAGCGTTTCCCGATGCTGGAAACAGGTAATCTGATAACGGGAACTAAGCGATGCATACGAGCAGGAGGAAGGCCTGCGTTGAAGACAGCTGCGCTGCTCCGCCTTCCAGATGAGATTTATATGCAGTACGATGGGCATCGGACGAAGAAAGCGCTGGCAACTTGCTTCTAATACTGGTCGGGGTCTACACAATGTTGAGATCCAGTCAATGATTGACGTGACACTATCAGATTAGAGCGAAATTATCTGATACCGTTGAAGGGGTGTACTGTACCTCTCGTATGGAATATCACAAAACATTCTTTTAATAAATCTTTAGTATTGTCGCATATGGTGTGTATCACGTAACGGATTGATTAAACCCGCTCTTTCCACTGGTTCTGGTCGAAGAATCTCGCTCTACACTCTAAATTGTGATTGGCTGCTGTATGTCACTTATTGTCTAATCCGTGGCTCGGAATTAGTGCCATCAAAGAAGATGGACGGACGCGACCGAAGGCATCTCATTCTTCAATTTTCCTCTTGGCTGTCACCTGTTTTTTCATCTTTCAAGACACGAGACAATCAAAGCCTTTGACCTCATTTTGATCGTCTGATCTGTCTTTTGTATTCCAAGACTTTTTAACCAGCCCCCATCAAAATGGCTGGTGGTGCAGAAGGCAATCCGTCGTACATGTCATTGGCAACACCTAATGATGTCAAGAATTATACAAACGATGTCGGTCAAATTCAATGGGCCCAAGTGCCACTTAATGCAGCACTTGACAAGCTTAAATCATGTCGCGAAGGTCTCACATCTCATGAAGCTGAGAAACGTTTAGCTGAATATGGTCCCAACAAATTACCAGAAGAAAAAGTAAACAAGTTGAAGCTTTTTATGGGATTTATGTGGAATCCTTTGTCCTGGGCCATGGAAGTAGCTGCTATTTTATCAATTGTATTGCTGGATTATGCTGATTTTGCATTGATTCTCTTCCTATTGCTGCTAAATGCATGCATTGGATACTTGGAAGAAGTACAAGCTGGTGATGCTGTATCGGCTTTGATGGGTCAATTGGCACCGGAGGCAAAAGTGTTTCGTGATGGAGAGATTAAAAACATTCCAGCGGACTTGCTAGTCCCTGGTGACGTGCTACGTGTACGTCTAGGCGACGTGATTCCAGCCGATCTCAAGTTCCTCGAAGGTGATGCTGTTAAAGTGGATCAATCGTCACTGACTGGTGAGTCACTACCCGTGACAAAGAAGGAGGGAGACGAGGGATACTCTGGTTCTGTGGTGAAACAGGGTGAGATTGAGGCTGTCGTGACTAGCACGGGTGTGAACACATTCCTTGGTCGTGCTGCTGAGAAGATTGCGTCCGCAGACTCTCACGGTCGTCTGCAGATGGTGCTGACAACTGTAGGCAACTTTTGTATGGTGTCGATCGCATTCTGGTGCGTGGTGGAGCTGTTGGTGCAAATGGCCGGTCGTTCCTCGCAGAACCCATGTGTGATCGTAACGGACGGTTGTCTGGGTGTCGCTAACATCCTGGTGTTGATTGTGGGCGGTATCCCCGTGGCAATGCCGACTGTACTGTCGGTGACACTTGCCATCGGTTCGTCGGCTTTGGCCAAGGAGAACGCCATTGTGACGCGTCTGACGTGTATCGAAGAGATGGCTTCGATGGAGGTGTTGTGCTCGGACAAGACGGGTACACTGACGCTGAACCAGCTTTCTGTGGACATGGACAACTTGATCCCGTACAATAACTTTACGGGGGACGACATCCTCAAGTACGGCGCTCTGTCTGCTCGTACGGAGAACAATGAAGCTATCGACGTAGTGTGCCACAACACATACCCGGGCCATGCTACGATGTGGAACGAGTACACACTGCTGCACTACACGCCGTTTGACCCCACAACGAAGCGTACGATTGCTAAGCTGAAGGACAATCGAACTGGCGAGATCTTCCGTGCCGTGAAGGGTGCCCCGCAGGTGGTGTTGGACATGGACGTGAACGCGGATGTTCTTCGCATGGAGGTTGAAGAGCGCATCGACGAGTTTGCTTCGCGCGGCTATCGTGGTCTGGGTGTGGGTATCTCTCGCTGCGGTGATGTTCCGGTGGAGGAATGTGAGTGGCAGATGATTGGTCTGTTGCCGCTGTTCGACCCCCCTCGCCACGACACGGCGGACACTGTGAAGAAGGCCATTGCTCTGGGCATTGCGGTGAAGATGGTCACGGGTGACCAGAAAGCCATTGCTGTGGAGACGTGCCGTCAGTTGGGAATGCCTACGAACATTTTGGACACTTCTTTCTTTAACACTGCTCCTCCTCCTGGACTGAACCTGGCGCAGATGATCTATGACACGGACGGTTTCGCTCAGGTGTTCCCTGAGCACAAGTTTGAGATCGTGAAGCACCTGCAGTCGCTGGACAAGGTTGTGGGCATGACGGGTGACGGTGTAAATGACGCTCCGGCTCTGGCACAGGCCGACATTGGTATTGCTGTGGATGATGCGACGGACGCGGCGCGTGCTGCTGCTGACATTGTGCTAGTTTCGCCCGGTCTGAGTGTGATCATCACGGCCATTCGCATGAGTCGTGAGATTTTCCTGCGCATGAAGAACTACGCCATGTACTCTATCGCCATGACGGTGCGTATTGTGTTTACGTTCGGCATCCTGACGGTAGCGTGGAACTGGTACTTCCCTCCTATTCTTGTGGTGATTCTGGCCATCCTGAACGACGGCACGATTCTGACGATCTCGAAGGACAATGTGGTTGCGTCACCGTACCCGGACTCGTGGAAGCTGAAGGAGATCTTCATTTCGTCGATCACGTTCGGTCTGTGGCTGACGCTGTCGACGGTCGTGCTGTTTGGTGTTGTGAACAACTCGAGTGGTTTCGAGCGAACTGGTGCTGAGAATTTGTGCGCGAGCTGCATGAAGGAGGAATGCCATGACTTTTTCCAGGATCAGTACCAGATGTGTGTGATGGACAACAACGCGACTGGCTGCGGTGAGATGACGGGCAGCGTGCCACAGGCCGCTAGTTTGTCGGACGTGGGCAATTTCCGCGAGAAAGCAGTTAACGCGTACTGGAAACAGTACCAGAAGAAGTATGACTCGCGCTCGAAGTTGTTTGAGGACCTGTCTGACGTGCATCTTAACTCGCTTCCGAACGACGTGAAGCCATCGGCTGAGATTGCGTACAACCAGTTTGTGTATGCGTACACGTTGGGCATGGGCGGTGCCGCTTACAAGGGCGACTACGACGTGTTCAACGCTGCTCAGCTGGGCCGTGGTGTGCGTTTCATTGGTAATGGCGAGGTGCCTCTGACGAACCAGGTGAGCTTCTGTGACTACGTATGGGGTTTTAGCAACTGGAACTCGACGTGGACACGCAATAACGAGATGATCGGCCCTGGCATTCAGCGCAAGGAAGGCGTGCTTCGCTCGCTGGTGTACTTGCAGGTGTCCATCTCTGGCCAAGCTCTGATTTTTGTAACACGTACGGCCGGCAGCAACAATTGGTTCTTCGCTGAGAAGCCGTGCAACTTGCTGCTGATCGCTTTCGTGTTCGCTCAGATCGTTGCTTCAGTGGTGGGCTGGATCGGTTTCGGCGGCTACCCGACGGACCGTATTGCCGTGATCGGTTGTGGCGGCACCTACACGCTGATTGCGTGGCTGTGGGCCATTGTGTGGCAGTTCCCGCTTGACGTGATCAAGTTTGCGGTGAACTATATGCTGACGAAGAACGCGTACTCGAGCAAGGCGTTCACGGAGCGCATCAACGCTGGTCACCCGACGATGACGCACTCTGTGGTGACGAACGCGCAGCGTTCAATCCGTGCCAGCCGCACTGTTTAAGCAGACTTAGGTTATTGGTCGCGTGCGGAAGCAGCGGCTCTTGGAGAAAGAGGAGTTTGTGTGAGATTCTTTGCACTCTTGGACATTATCGCTGATGGACTACACGTCCTTGTCCGTCGCATATACACACTGTTGTGTGTATATGTCTGCATGACTCATGCTTTATCGTATTACCTAGTTAGTAAGAAGTGATACAGTTAAAGTTTTTATCTAATGAACCAAGTGGTTGTAAGATCCGCAGATCCCTTGGTTTAAAAGGCTCTAGTTGTCGGCAAAGACTAGCAACAACAGTCCGATAATTATGAAGACACCTCTCCCATTTCCCGCATAGCCTGTTATTAATAATAGCACTTCTCGCAATTGCTCTAATGCCACATTCTTTCGTTGTGACTTGCTCCTTGTGTCAACATGGAGATTCGTCTTGAACTTAGCGCGTGCTGCCGGGATTCATTTTTACAAGCAATTTTGCATAACAAACGTCCATTGCTCGTCCTCACTTGTCTTCTTGGCGATTTGTATCGTTCAAAAGTGCTAAGCTTCACCCTTAGCTGGCTCTGCTTGACATCAATTGCGACAAGACTTGGTCGCGTCCTTTCCAGCGTGCTAAATCCCTCGAGTCCATGAATCATCAACGCTCACGCCACTACCACACGAATCGACGCACATCATTGCTCCCCCTTTACCTTCTTTGCTGACTACTGCCCCATTTTCCGCTTGTTTTTCATCTCGACGATCCCGTACAATGTTCATAGCCACGTCCATGACACGGAAGGCGGCCGCAAACTCGGTCGCTGACATTTCGGCCAGCAAAGTTGCGACGGCATTCCCCACCGCACGCGACACCTTGAACTGCGTCGTAGGGTCCACCAGATCAAGTAACTCACCATCCAATGGCACCGAGTGAGCGAGACGAAAGTCACGTAGAACTTGATCCTCTGTAGTCAGCTTTAGAACAGCATTGCCAGTGGACTCGTCAATGACGTGTGTCTGTTCCAGCCGAGCGTTCGTCGTCGCTGGAGCACCAGCAGCTGATGCTGTCTCCTCCTGATTCCGCAATCGATGCAAGATATTCTGCACGTCCTTGAGTGTTGGTGCACAACTCGAGTGTTTCATTATATAGCTATGCACGTCCTTGGGTTTAACACCTGTCTTTCTCATGAGCTCGACACAGCTCAGTAGCTCACTCGAGAGCTTGAGTCTCGTGTTACTATACTGCAGGAACGTCTCCTTATCCACTCGATGATTATGAGTCAGCAATGCTCGCGTTACATGTACTTGATAGCGATTTGCCACGGGATCCGTGAGTTTCAGACACGCGTTTATCTGCACATTGCAGCGTGTGGCACGTACATCCTGACGGGAACGTCGTCCAGTCCCACGTGACACAAAGGCACCACTATGAGTACATACAAGTGTGAGTGAATAATTGTTGTATCTCTCTGGAATAAGCTGTGGATTCTCTACTCTCGTATGTTCTTCTTCCAGTAATTGTGACGTCTTCTTCGAGCGTGACAAAAGACGTTCAGCTACGCGTCGATTCCGTAGCTTTACTGATGTAGACGTGCGTTTGCGAAAGATTTGATAACTACGACGTGCATACGAGTTCATATACGTCTCAAACTCGTCCCATGAATTAAACACACGGCGTTCTAATGGGGCACCCTCATACACTTTGGAAGACGATGAAGAAGGTACTGGAGACGCTGGGGCCATTTCTATGAGTGGCAAATCGCCACACGAGGTCGATGCCATACAAACATCAAGTCAAATATAATCAAAATGCACGTATTTGTGACAGTGGGGACCACCAAGTTTGATGCGTTAGTAGCGGCATTAGACACAGACGCGTGTCTTTGTGCTCTAGTGGCCCGAGGTTTCACGTCTCTGCGAATGCAAATTGGCCATGGAGAGAAACGACCGCGTACATCATTCCCGGGTCTGGAGCTGAGCTTTTACCGTCATGATCCGCAGTATAAAAACGACGTGGCCAGGGCCGATCTGATCATCAGTCACGCAGGTGCTGGTTCCATTATGGACGGTCTTGCACTCAAGAAGAAGCTCGTGGTGGTCGTGAATACGGGACTTATGGACAACCATCAGATGGAACTGGCTAAGGCCATGGCCGACCAGAAATTCTGTCTCCAGACGTCAGTGGACGGACTTCAGCGTGTACTGGAGAGTGGCAAGTGGAACGACTTGCAACCGTATCCGCAGTTAAATGAACAGGCTTTTCCCGACTTGGTCGATGCAGTGATGGGAGTGACTCAAGTGACGAAACAACAGTAGAAAGATCGATGGCACATAAGCTTCGAGGAAAATCTTGTGTCACTCATCGGATTCCTTTTTCTACATGTAGCTGTACGCACAGTGTCGTAGTGCCTCTGTCTACATCGGAACCTCTTTCAACGTTGTAGTGTGCGTGTTAGACATAAAGATCGTACTACCATGTGCTCTTTCTACTGCCTCATGCACCACCCTAACACCATGATCTGCAGCTTGTTTTTCTTCACCACGACAACCCTCGACTCCATTGTCCAATGCCATTAGTGTCATGACCTACTGCTGCTATCTCGTTCTCCTTCTCAGCACCACGTACAGAAGAAGTTACTGCACTCATCACCTTCTCCAAAACTGCCGTCACTTCGACTTCAGACGCCAGCCACATCGCTCAGTTATGCTGTCTTTGTCCATCGTCTTTATTCGCTGCTTGCTTGTCTGCCTCTGCAATTCACCTGGTCCATAGTCACCTCGTCGCTTCTTGATTGTCCTCGATAGAGCTGCACACAGTCACTTGTCGCCTATTTGGCTCTTACTTAACGGCCTATATAAAAAATAACGACTGACCCTATTTTTTCAAATAGATCATGTACGATAAAGTCACGTGTTCGTACAATTTTATTCTCTTAAAACCTACTGCTTCTGTCATTTCCACTAGATCTTTTTGGTTATTCCACATAAAAAAACCAAATCTTCTCCTTTCGTCAATTTATTACCCCCGGGGGGGGGAAAGAATAAAAAAAAGAAATCAATCTCTCTAATTCTCTACCATTCCTTCATTCTCCTCCCCCTCTCTCTCAAGGCCCCCCATCTCTCTCTCTCTCAAGGCCCCCCATCTTTCTCTCTCAAGACCCCCCCCTCTCTCTCATGTCGCTTCCACTTCCACAAATAATTCCTTGTGGTACGTACACTATCGTTCTTGGTTCCTTCCTCTTCCAATCTCAATACATTGCCCAAGATCTTCTCCAACTTCTTCCAACGACTTCAACTTTTGTCATTCTCACCGACGCAAACGTTGGTCCCCTTTATGCCAACCCCCTTTACACTCAATTAACAACCTTATTACAAGCCCCTCCACATGTCACACGTCGGGTCTTCCTCCATACAATCCCACCAGGTGAAACTTCCAAGTCTCGTGACATGAAGACCAAGATTGAAGACGACGTGTTGTTCCCTAATCGCTGTCATCGGGATACGTGCGTCATTGCTGTTGGAGGGGGAGTCGTAGGGGATTTAGCGGGATACGTCGCGTCGACGTACATGCGGGGTGTCCCTTTTGTGCAAATACCGACGTCTTTATTGGCTTGTGTGGATTCCAGTATTGGGGGAAAAACCGGTATTGATGTCGCTGCTGGAAAGAATCTATTAGGGGCGTTTCATATGCCACAACGTGTGTATATTGATCTCAATGTACTGCAGACGTTACCAAAACGGGAACTTATCAATGGAATGGCTGAAGTGATTAAATCAGGAGCAATTTATAATCCTGAGCTTTTTGAGCTCTTGGAAACATCAGCTGAGACAATGCTTACACTATCGGATATGGACGTTGTACAACGTATTGTGGCACTTACGGTACAAGTGAAAGCTACAGTTGTGACTGAAGATACAAAAGAGATGGGACTACGTGCGATTCTCAACTTTGGGCATAGTATTGGTCATGGAATTGAGGCATTATTGCAACCAGAATATCTTCATGGAGAATGTATCTCCATGGGCTGTCTCAAGGAAGCCGAGATTGCTCGTGGGATGGGCATTTGTACTTCAGCAACTGTTGGTCGACTTCGTCGCTGTCTTACTGCCTATGGTCTTCCAGTACGTGTACCCGACCATGTAACAACACGTGATGTCTTGGAGAAAATGGAGATTGACAAGAAGAACAGTCAAGGGGTCAAGAAGATTGTACTGCTGGAGAAAATTGGCAAGGTATTAGCCAATCCATACGCACGTGCCGTGAAGGATCATCAGATTGAGCTCGTGCTGGAAAAGCAAGTCTGCATGGTGCCGGGTGCAAAAGCTAACGGTACAATTCGTGTCCCTGGATCCAAGTCTATTTCAAACCGCGTGCTGCTCATGGCCGCTCTTGGCAAGGGTCCGTGCCGCATCACCGGACTTTTGCACTCGGACGACACGCAGGTCATGATGAACGCGCTGCAAAAGGTTGGCGCCAAATTTTCATGGGAGGATAATGGTGCTGTGCTTGTCGTGGAAGGCACGGCAGGAGAGTTTGTCACTGTGCCCGATGGGGAAGAGATCTACCTGAGCAATGCTGGCACGGCTGCACGGTTCCTCACGAGCGCGATGACTCTGGTGCCGAGCGAGCGCAATGGCGCGGTGATTATCACGGGTAATCACCGCATGAAGGAACGTCCGATATCTCCGCTGGTGGATGCGTTGCGCGGAAACGGCTGCGAGATTGTATATAGTGAGAATGAAGGGTTTCTACCGCTAGCGATTCGTGGCACTGGTCTGCGTGGTGGGACCATTCGTCTTGCAGCCGAGGTCAGCAGCCAGTACGTGTCTTCTGTACTTATCAGTGCACCGTACGCCAAGGAACCGCTCGTGCTGGAGCTTGAAGAGGACGAGCCGACTTCGCTGCCGTACATTCTTATGACGACACAGCTAATGAAACAATTCGGCATTGCGGTGGAAACGCTGGCTCCCAACCGCTACCGTGTACCTTGCGGCATATACGAAAATCCCAAAGAAGTGTCTGTGGAGGTGGACGCATCGTCGGCCACATATCCGCTTGCGTTCGCCGCTATTACGGGCGGACAGGTGACAGTGGAAGCTCTTGGCAACACAAGTCTACAAGGCGATGCCGCTTTCCACACTCTGTTGCGATCGATGGGATGCACTACGACCCAAGACGCTACGTCGACAACGGTGACTGGACCGCAGGACGGGTCGCCTCTCAAGGCCGTGACTATCAACATGGAGACTATGACGGACGCATTCATGACAGCTGCTGCCCTAGCTGTTGTGGCTGATGGCATTACTGAGATCACTGGCATTGCTAACCAACGTGTGAAGGAGTGCAATCGCATTGAGGTGATGGTGACGGAGCTGCGTAAGATTGGTGTGGAGTGCTGTGAACTGCCCGATGGCATTCGAATCACGGGCACGGCAGGCAAGACTGACCATTTGAAAAAAGCTTTTATTGCATGCCACAACGACCACCGCATCGCCATGAGCTTTGCAGTCCTTGGCGCTGTAGTGAACAATGTGATCATTACCGACAAGGAATGCACGGACAAGACATATCCGGAGTTTTGGGACCACTTGCAGATGCATCTTGGCCTCCAAGTCGTGCCTGTTGTCGAGAAAACGACTGGCGACAGTAAAGGTGAAAACACGATCCCTGGTGTGTTTTTGATTGGCATGCGTGGTGCTGGCAAAAGCTCATTGGCGAAGGCGGCGGCCGCTGCACTAAAGCTGAATCTGCTAGATACGGACGAGATGCTGGAGAAAGAACTTGGTGAGTCCATAGTAGACTTTGTCGCTCGCTACAACAACACGTGGGAAGCCTTTCGCGAAAAACAAAAGGATCTGCTACTGCGCCTGATTGCGAACCCACCTCCTGCTACCATTATTTCTTGCGGCGGCGGTGTTGTGGAGTCTCCAGAGATCGTGGACGCGCTTGAAAAATACTTGTACGTTGTCCACGTACGTCGCGATATCAAGGATGTTCTGTCGTACCTGGACTCCTCGGAGGAGTCGCACCGTCCGTCACTGGGAGACAGTCACGCGAATGTTTGGGCACGGAGGGAACCTCTGTACCAGCGCAGCTCTTCATTTGAGTTCGTCGTAAACGCTGGTGACGTAGACTACCCTCGTATCAACCGCGACTTTGTGCGCTTCCTTTCCGTTATCACCCCCGGTCTGCCCACAAGCTTCGACTACCGCTCATCATGTCGCTCGGATACGTTTTTCTTGTCGCTTACTTTCCCTGACGTGAACGACGCTCGCCCAATCATCAATGACATCTCTAAGGGTGTCGATGCGCTGGAGTTGCGCGTGGATCTGTTGAAGTTTCCCGAGGACACAAAGTTTGTGACTGCTCAAGTGGCACTTCTTCGTGCGCTTTCAACTCTCCCTGTGATCTTTACAGTGCGCTCAAAAAACCAGGGTGGTGCCTTCCCGGATGGCGAGGAGCACACGCAGAAGATGTTCGAGCTGCTTCAGCTGGGTGTTCGCCTGGGCTGTGAGTTTGTGGATATGGAAATGGGCTGGTCGCGTAAGGCGCGTGAGCATTTGATGGCTCACCACCACCGATCTGCCATTATTTCGTCCTTTCATGCCGTTCAGAAGCCTACGTCTGAGGCAGAAACAAGGGCTATTTTCCGCGAGTGTTACTCGCAGGGTAAGGTACAGATCGTGAAGGTGGTGGTCAAGGCGTATTCCCCACAAGACGCGCTCATGATCGACCGTGTTGCCAAGGACTTTGCAAATGCGTGGCAGCAAATGCCAATTATTTCGCTGTGTACAACAGAGGCAGGCAAGCTGACCCGTGTTCTTAACCGCACCCTTACGCCGGTGACACACCCGCTTCTTCCTGTGGCCGCAGCGCCTGGACAGCTATCTGTCGAGGAGATTATGACCCTTCGCAAACAGCTTGGACTTCTTCCAGGTATCTAATCCGTAGACTGGTGGAACCCTTTTGCATGTGCTTGATGCATATGCTCGACTAAACACACATTATCTTACTCACTCATACTTTTCTTGCCTCCATTTGTGTACTAGTGCGCGAGTTCTTTTTGTTTGGATCGCCGATCGAGAAATCACCGTCGCCTGCAATGCACAACGCAGGGTTCGAGTCTGCGTCATTGGCGTCACTCTTCACCTACGGACTGCACGATACCATGGACGTTTTAGAGATTGTAAAGCGAATGCAAGCACCCAAAACCAGCTTGGGTGGGGGCTCTGTCACGATTCCACATAAGGTGGCAATCATGGAGCACTTGGACGAGCTTTCACCAGCTGCACAGGCCATCGGAGCTGTGAACACCATTGTGCGTGAAGATCGCAACGACTCGGTGTATTGGAAGGGCGACAACACAGACTGGCTCGGCATCTTACGTCCCATCAGCAAGCGGCTGGCCACTCTACGCGTGAAGAAGCCTGCTCATGAATTAGTTGCACTTATTGTTGGTGCTGGCGGCACTTCCATGGCTGCATCCTACGCAATGCGCCAATTAGGCGTTGGCAAGCTTTTTATCTTCAATCGAACGTTGGAGAAGGCCCAGATCGTTGCTACGCGCTTTGACGCGGAAGCATTGTCGGAGCTAACCCTCGAGAAGTTAGCTCAAGTGGATGTGGTCGTAGGCACGATCCCGGCACAGGCAAATTTCCAGCTTCCCGATTATCTCGTGGCTCCACGCACCGACGGCAGCAAAGTTGTGGTGCTAGACGCAGCCTATATGCCTCCTATCACGCCAATGCTGGCACATGCAGAAGCAGCAGGTGGTGCGTTGTGCATTCAAGGCTACGAGATGTTGTACGAACAGGGTATCGAACAGTTTTATCGTTGGCACAAGGCAACGCAAGTGTGGAGAGTAGATGAGGAAGCGATCAAGGAGGCATGCCGTCAATACGTGCCAGTCGACCAGCGACTCTCACAAGCCTGAACGTGTCAATGCTGCTCAGCAACAAGTTATAAAGCAGTAGCAGAAGTGTAAAATCGAATCAAGAGGTCTTGTGCATTATCCAGAACCATGTAGCCACGAAAACACAAGACTCTGCAGCGGGTATTACCATATGCGTCATATAGCGTCTGGTCTGTCTTGAGTATTCTGTTGGTTTATTATTTGGCATCAACAGTGAGTCTCTTGGAGCGATAACCAATAGTTGTAGCACCCAAACAAACCAAGACTGCACCAGCATAATGGACCGGGATAGAAATAAAGCAGCCATTTGTGTCGAGATTAGCCAGTGCCTATAGCCACAAAAACAAAGTCAAAAATATGAAAGTGTCATCATATCTAGCAGCATCACAGTACTACTTTAAATTACTTACCGATAAAGCGACACCCATGTGAATTCCAAAGACGGTACCAATTAATAATACCGATCGTTTTCGGTACCCGTCAAACGCGATAATCATCAATCCAACGTCGATGATCGTTAATGCCAATGTAGAAATCGCAGCTGAAAATATCAATGGAATACTATCACATGAAGTGGAAAAAGCAGCACCACGTGAACCGGTAGATGAGCCAAGAAGACTTCCAAACATTAACAGAGAATGCATGAGCGCAAATCCAACACCACCAGCAAGTGATGATGTGATGTCATTAAGTGGCAATTGATGACATGACGTCGTCAACCGTTTTACAGCCAATTCCGTGTGTGTATAGAGGTAAAAAAAGAGCAGACGAAAAGCTTCTTGAACAATGACACCGAGTGGAATTGTAGCTGCAAGTGATGTCTTCAAAGGGGGAATAAGATGCCATAGAGACGCCGTGACGAGGATCGCAACAAGCCAAATAAAAGCACCACTGAGTGAAATAATGACAAGTTGCGCACGTTTTGCCACGACGATAAAGAAGAGAGAAGCGAGAGGTCCAAAACCGAGAAGAATACAACCGAAAAAGAGCGGCCAGTTGACGAGGCCGTCGTGTAGTGCCATGATCAAGTATTCGCTGGAGCGGGGGGGGGGGGGTCGTCTCTATGAACGACTTGTCGTGAATGTGGATTTTTAATTTTTAGTTTAGAAATATCGCTGAAAAAGGAATATTTTAGAAGTAGAAATAATAAAATCGAAATGATAGTCTGATTCTATATGGATTCGCTGAAAATAGTAATCACTTGTTTGAAGAAGTAGGAGTATTTCTAGTATTACGTCAGTCTTAATCATCTAGTATAATATCTATCATTAAAGTAGTATATAAAGTACTAATTGACGGTGCAGTGATCATTTTATCTGAACGTTTGCCTCCTGCACGGCGCATTGGAGTTGGCCTGACATTTACCGATCAAGTTCGCACTGGTAGTTGCACAACGGTAGAGCGCGAATGCATCATGCACGACGTAGAACCGCTGTATGTTTATAAATAATAACATACATGTACCTGTTGAAAACGTACATTTTAGCTTAGGTATTATTCATATACTATATTAAGCACGCATTATTACTGCAAGTAACGCACGCCTTCAAGTAGTCACTGATTCAGTTTCGTGACGCGCAGCGAGACGACTACCCTTGTCAAATCCGATATGGCTACATAAGATCGATTTTTGACCATTAATGTCTTCAACACCAAATGATAATGCACGTCTTGAGACTCGTCATGGAGTCAGTGTGACTGTTGGACCAGAGAGGAAATTTTGAACGCATCTATGAGAAGGGTCGCGACTATGAAGCTGGCCATGACCCACCACGTTTATGATCTGGGAAGGGCAAACTTTCTAAAAGACTTGGCAAGACTCAGTTCTTGTAAAAGCTACAGCTAGGGGTAGGGGTACTCATCTGCTTTGCCTTCAATATGTGTTGCTTCTGTTCTTTTGGGCTTCGATGATGCCCCGAGACATTAGAGAATGCCTAAAAAGTCCGTATTGTGTCCATGACGACCTCATCCGTCAGTTCTTTCATTGATAAAGAAAGAGACTATATATGACTACGGAAGTAGAAGAAGAAGAAGAAGAAGGAGAAGGAGAAGATTCTTGACCAAATGTCGCACGTTTTAGGCGGTGTCTCGTCGTTGTACCTAGCGGGTAGGGGAATGCAACTCCCATCTGCCCTTTTTCTTGCATGCTCTATCTAAGAATAAAAAAAAACTGACGTCAGTAAAAGTATTTTGCGTTTGTATAGATCTCATACATTAAACAAGACTTCTTTTTGCTACTGATTTTTTACTTGATGGGAGACTGCGAAATAGAGAGAGAGATGTAACAACGACTTTTTAAGTGAAGACTCGCCCACTCGCCCGACCCCAATCCAACGACAACGTTTAGAAACAAACACCAACCCCCTGAGTAGAAAAAATGAGACACAGAACGTCCGCTTCCACACGACAGCGGATGCGTCCGATTGATTGCACCAGTCATTTATTCACTTTTAATCTTTTTATCTCACTAACATTAGGAAGTAAGTGAGTGAGTAAACAAGTGAGTGAGTGAGTAAATAAGTGAGTGAGTGACCTGATAGCTCCAGACCCTTTTGACCGTAGTAGAAAACGTTCCATTTATCAAGTCATGACGTCTCCCTATAAGACCCAAACGGTGGTATACAATCGCTCTAATGCTTTTGTAGCTACTGAAGACGATAGTCATCAACGTTTTACGTGTACGTCTATTCTTTCATCCCTTCTTCATCTTCTTCTTCTTCTTGTTTTTCTTCTTCTTGTTCTTGTTCTTGTCTTTATACTCATATGTCTTTGTCTGATTATTTTACTTTCTTATAGATCTATTTAATCTTGCACATGAGCAGTATATGGCTGGTTATTATCAAGAAGCACTACGTCTGTGTCAACAACTGTATGAATCTGATGCTTATCGTACTGATAATTTGTTATTACTTGGAGCCTTACATTTTCAACTTGGGAATCTCTCCGAAAGCATTTTTTACAATCAACAATGTATTCGTGTAGCTCCTGACTTTGTTGAAGCGTATGGAAATTTGGGAAACGCATTGAAAGAACTTGGAGATTTATCTGGGGCTGTCCAATTTTATATACGTGCAATCAAGCTGAATCCACGCTTTGGAGACGCGTACAACAATTTGGCCAATTGCTACATGCTCTTAGGTCAGACAAGTGAAGCTGTGGAAACGTACAAGATGGCGATTCTATTGGATCCACAGCTTGTGGATGCACAGAGTAATTTGGGCAATTTGTACAAGATGCAGGGCTGTCTAGAAGATGCAAAACACTGTTATGCACAAGCTATTCGTTATAAACCAAGTTTTGCGATTGCTTGGAGTAATTTAGCTGGACTTTTAAAAGATGACGGACAATTGGACGCTGCCATTGATCACTACAGAGAAGCTATTAGATTAGCTCCAGATTTCGCAGATGCTTATAGTAATTTGGGCAATGCATTGAAGGAAGCTGACAGGGTTGACGAGGCAATCCAAGCGTACAAGTCGGCGTTACAAATCCGACCGACCTTTGCTATTGCCCACGGTAATCTGGCCAGCTGCTACTACGATGCAGGCCAGATGGAGCTGGCCATCCAGACTTTTCGGTACGCGATTCAGCTCGAACCAAACTTTCCGGACGCCTACAATAATTTGGGTAATGCTTTGCGTGAATGTGGCCAGCTTGAGCAAGCTGTCGCGTGTTATCGTACGGCACTGCAGCTCAAACCGGACCATCCACACGCGTACAACAACCTGGGTAACGCCTTGAAGGACAAGGGGCTCGTGAAGGAAGCGTTGCACTGCTACACGACGGCAGCGCGTCTGCTCCCGCAGTTTGCGGCCGCGCACAGCAACATTGGCAGTGTTTTGAAAGAGCAGGGCAAGTTGGACCTGGCACTGGCACACTACCAGCAGGCTATCACGATTGACCCTAACTTTGCCGATGCATACAGCAACATGGGCAATGTGTTTAAGGACTTAAGTCGTTTGGAAGAAGCCATCCAGTGCTACTCGACAGCAATCCGTCTGAAACCGCAGTTCCCTGATGCCTATAGCAACCTCGCTAGCGCGTACAAGGATGGCGGTCGTCTCGAGGACGCTATTACGTGCTACCGCAAGGCACTTGCGCTACGCCCGCACTTCCCGGATGCATTTGCCAACTATTTCCACTCGATGGTATTTATCTGTGACTGGCAGTCTCGCTCGCAGGACACGGAGATGCTGCAACAATTTGTGGATGAGCAGCTGAGTATGGGTGGCGTGCTGCCGTCCGTACAACCGTTCCACGCACTGGTGTATCCGCTGTCGATGCAGCGATTCCAAGACATTTCACGGCGATATGCTGAGCGCGCCAAGCTGAACGTGAGTCTAGTGGACCTGCCTCCGATGCGTTTCAAGAGCAAGCTAGCGTCGGAGCGTCTGCGCATTGGTTATGTGTCTTCAGACTTGGGTAACCACCCGCTGGCGCATTTGATGCAGAGTGTGTTTGGCATGCACGACAAGAGCAAATACGAGGTGTTCTGCTACGCTACGTCGCCGGACGACGGATCGATGTGGCGCAAGCAGATTGCTGGTAGCGTCGAACATTTTACTGACATTTGTACATTGTCAAACGGCGACGCTGCGCGCACGATTCATGCCGACAGCATTCACATTCTTGTCAATCTGAACGGGTATACAAAGGGTGCTCGCAACGAGATCTTTGCGCTCCAGCCTGCACCTGTCCAAGTGAGCTACATGGGTTTTTGTGGCACGCTCGGTGCCGACTACATTCAGTACATGGTTGGCGACGCCACGGTGGTGCCTTTGGAGTACCGGCGGTTCTTTACGGAGAAACAGATCAACATGCCGCACTCGTACTTTGTGAATGACCACAAGCAGTCGGCGCGCGATGTGCTGGACAAGGCCAAATGTCCGAAACGAGCAGACTACGGTGTGCCTGAGGACAAGTTTGTATTTTGCAACTTCAACCAGGTGTACAAGATTGACCCTGTCACGTTCGCGACTTGGATGAATATCCTCAAGCGCGTGCGGAACTCAGTATTGTGGCTGCTGCGCTTCCCTCCTATCGCGGAGACGAACATTCGCTCCGCGGCCCGTGCTTGCGGAGTTAAAGACCAGACGCGTTTAATCTTTACTGACGTGGCTCCTAAGGACGAGCACCTAAAGCGTGGGTACCTCGCTGATCTGTTCTTGGATACGCCCGAGTGCAATGCGCATACGACTGGATGTGACATTCTGTGGGGCGGCACCCCGATGGTGACGATGCCAAAGGACCGCATGGCCACGCGCGTAGCTTCGAGTTTGCTGCGCGCCGCCAATATGAGCGAGCTTATTGTGGATTCGCTCAAAGAATACGAAGAACTTGCAGTGGCGCTCGCTAGTGACACGGATCGATTAGGGAAGCTTCGACGGCGGCTTGAAGACGAGCGTCTGCACAGTCCACTGTTCGATACCCAGCGGTGGGTTCGCAACCTAGAGACGGGCTTATGCATCGCGTGGGAACGCCACGAGCAAGGCCTCTTGCCTGACCACATCGATGTGCCTGATATTAACGACCTGGAGCAGCTAAAGTCGGAAAAGTACAAGACCATTGACAACCAGTCGCAGTCTTGGGCTACAGCAGGGATTGCAATGGACGACAACAGCGACCAGCACTCGAGCACCGAATCTATCGGTAGCAGTGACCTGCGAATGAGCGCCTCACTTTGTAGTAGAATGTCGACTGCCGCGACCAGATCAACCTCTGCCTACAAACAAGTATGAGCTTAAAAGCTTTGTGATGTACGACGAGCCCACCCCTTTTTTCAAAAATGAACTGCTGATGCAGCGACCATTAAGTATTTTTGAGGTTCCATATCGCTATTCTCTCGCTTCAGTTGTCGTTTATGCTGTTGTCTTCCTCCTCCTTGTGACATTGTCACACCTGTCACTCTCTTTGTGTGAAAACCACGACAGCCATCCCACCCACCAATAGGTATTTGAGCAATGGGTAATCATTTAGCAAAATCGTGAGCATTCCAGCATAAGGGATCGACCTAATGGCACAATGAATTAGTCACAAGTACCAAAACCAAATAATAATAGTGCCATGTTATACGTACGCTCTAGCAATGCCGACAATATCCTCACGTTCGAGCCACGACTGACCAGACGCGTATAGTCCACTACAATAGAAAGAGAATTACAATTGTTAGTAAGCGCTTTTTCACGAATAAATTAATTGCTCATGTTACCGATCATGGACATTATTGTTGTCGCCTTTAGTAAGATAGACTTGGTATCCATCCATGGCCCTATAATATGTCCACATATTTCCTATATTAGGACACCCCTCTCTTTTTGTAAATATTCCATACTTCACTTAAGTACGAACCGTTCATGCAATTCCAAGACTCGATGAACAATAGGAATGTCACGACCTTTGACCTTGTACACGACAATATCCCCAATCTCCAACTCGGGCTTCTATTATCACTCAATAATTACACATTAGCCTCTCAATTAAGTCTTTTTTTCTTATAGAGTAAAAATAGGCCACGTACCCTGTTGTCCAGGTACAAAATGTCTCCTCGTTGAAAAGCTGGTTCCATGCTGCCACTAAGTACGACAACAACAGGCGATTCACTTTGAGTATACATCATCAGACCTTTCCAGATCATCAATGCCGTTAAGACAACCATGGCCAAATTCAGGCCCTGGTTCGTTAACTGTCGTTTATTCGCCCATAGGCGTTTTACTTCGTCCACTTGTTGTTGGATCATTGATCAAGTTTACGTAAATGACATCAAACAACCGATGCCACGTGGGTCGCCACACGAACCTGTCAAATATGATACGGACCCATATTATTGACAATTAACATGGCCAACCCATTTTCCAATATATATTGTTACCCACTTTTCCATACTATTGTAACCCATTTTCCAACATGAAATTATTGGTGCACATGCGACGACTAGTTCTAGGAGGTTCATCCATGACCCACCAACGTCGAAATGTCCTGACAATTAAAAAGGTTCAACTTCCTCAAAAGAATCAAGTCAACGTAAACGTGATTCCAATAGTAAATGACGCGTCTTCGTCATCCATTCGATTGGCCAAACGTATCGCCCTGTCTGGTTTGTGTTCACGTCGTGAGGCAGAAAGACGTATTCAGTGTTTTGATGTAACTGTCAATGGTCACGTCATTCATGACGTTGCAACGTCAGTGGACAAAAACCGGGATCTTGTTGCTGTAAATGGTCAAGTGCTTACAAAGACACAAAAGATGAAAATGTGGATGGCTCATAAACTAAAAGGGGTGAGCTATTGAACCTATTGACTATGGAGCTCTTTATTTATTGTAGTAGATAATATCTACTATTGTGTGTAGGATATTAAAAACTAATGTATGTTCTTGTGTTTGATATATATAAATCCTAGGAATTAGTGACAAATAGTGATCCATTGGGACGTGCTACGATTTTTGATCGACTGCGAGTCATGGGACTTACACAGCACATGATGCCAGTGGTATGGGTGTCTCTTATAGAGAAAACAATGGAGATTCATCTTGTGACGATTATTATTATTTTTGGTACCTTTAGGGACGACTGGATTTCAATACGGAAGGATTGCTACTTTTTACAAATGATGGCGATTATGCAAGAGAATTGGAACATCCCAAGACGGAAGTTACTCGTGTATATCGAGCATTGGTTCGTGGTAATGTCGCTATCTCGAAACTGCAAGAGTTGCAACGAGGACCACTTGTGGATGGAGTCAAGTATCGACCGATTAAGGTGGTGGTGCAGTCGACGGACAAGAAAGATTCGTGGCTACAGGTGAAAGTTACGGAGGGAAAGGTACGATATGGATTCAGTCTTTTGAAATGGTTGCCTACCTCTCATTTCTTACGACTGAATTTGCTTTGTTTTGACAGAATCGAGAGATTCGAAAAGCGCTGGCTCATGTGCGACTGGTGGTGAAGCGGTTGATCCGTGTAGGGTTTGGCCCGTATCGTCTTGCTGACCTTCCGTCTGGTGCTGTTCTTGAGGTGCGTGTAAAGTCTCTGGATAAAAAGCAGTTTGACAAGCAGGATGATGACAAGAAACGGTAGTGTACTCGCATACATACTTTCAATTTGCTGATGAGGAAATATATACGTTGGAACTGATGGAGCGTATTGACACCGGAACCTTATACACTTTCTATTGTCTACATTAATTGCACAAGCCTTTCAGCAAGGCTCTTTATTGCTTGCGTCAGCTCGTCATTGACGGTTCATGTACCTGTTTCAGGTGATACTGCCGTCTGGTGTGGCCAGTGCTGTCTACAGCTCATATGATTCGCGTGCGTTGCTAATTGTGTCGCTTTCAAGCGATGAGGCAGTGTATTTGCCAATATCTGTAGGCGATTCAATAACGCTGTACCAGTTCGGGACATCGGTGCGCGACGTAGTGCTGTCCTTAGTGTCGGGGGTATCTGTACCAGGGGGATGATCTTGATTACCACTCGACGCTGGGTTGAGATTTCTTGCTACAATAGAGGAAGATGTAGACGACGTTGATGAATAGCGGTGTATGTCCAAATTCTTAACTGCCTGGACCTGAGACCAACCGGAGCTGCTGCGTCCGGGATCGCTGGAAAGTCGTGATGAGGCCGAATATTTGCCGCTCGCCGAATACCTGTCACCTGAAGAGTATCCATCGCTTCCTGAGTCTCTTTCGTATGTCATGACAGGAGTTTCAGTTTCCAAGTCATTAGCGTGATGGATGGAGAGTTCCGAGTACCCGCGAATACTGAAGCTCTGCTCTGAAGACTCACTCGTCTCTCGAAATGCTGGAGGTGTTTGTGTCATTGAGCCATGCATCGATAGACCGGTAACATGTGAGTGTCGGTTGGCCATATCGTATTCGGTGGACAAACGCGTGATAGCATTCAGCTTGGCGCGTGCGTTAGCAGACAGTGGTAGGTCTCGTGACGTAAAAGTTGACCCACTTGCTTTCCACGCAGACAATTCCCGAGCAGTAGGTGCGACGATCGAGGGCATGGAGGCGGCTGGGAAAGTAATTGTACTTGTGTCAGATGCGACCGGTGTCCCCAAGTCCGGGTTTTCACTATTTCGGTTTCTCCAGAAGACGAAGAGGAGGCTCATTATAATAGTCAGACCGATTCCACCAAGCATGAAAAACACGACAGTCTCGGTGGTGAAGAACTCAGTCTGGGTTCCGGTGATAGATTCGGAATCGCTATTCGATGATGAAGACAATGAAGACGCGCTTGTAGGTCCGTCCCCTCCACTGCCACGAATAATGCTGTCAGCTTCGCTAACACTCAAGTTGTTCTCAAACTCGTTATCACGGATATCGCTACGCGGCGACGTTGATCCCGATGGTATTGTTGCAGTCGATTGAGCGGTCACCTGAGGGACGGACGGAGCTACTGCAGGTGGTAAGGTCGTCAAGACATCCGTGCTTACTCGAGCTGCAATTGGGGCCACTGGTTTGATAGGATCTTTAGTAACCGGTGGCGATGATGCAGGTGTGGTCGTAGTTTTGACAGCTTCCGTGACGACCGGGGTTGTAGCAGCTTTTGCTACCTCTGGCGTCGACTGTACTGCCGGTGCTTCAGTCACCGGCACTGGTTCGGTCGCTTGTGCAGGGGCTACGGTAGCGGGAGGATCCGTTGATGCCGAGGCATCTGCTACAATTGCTGCGGCCGTCACCTCTGGACTTGGCGTCACCACTGCGCCTACATCCTGTGCTTGAACGCCTATGTTTGGTGATGTAATCGTCATGAGTGCTAGTGCCGCTACGAAGACCAATCGCCATTGCACAAAGAGTCGAAACATGTTGATAACCTCTTCCTGTCTTTGATGTGGGTGAGCTCAGCGCAAACTATAAATGAAGTCGCATTGCTACTGCTGACTTATAACGTCTCGACGGATCGACAGCCACCTTTGCGTTTCACAAGAAAAAAACAAGCAGCTACGACAACTTTCCAGCTATGATAGTCGTTGGCGTTGCTGGAAAAGGCAGGCATTCATGGGACGAAGCAGGTCTTCTGCGCACGTAACGCCTATTTGAGCTCGTCGTTGAGCTCATTGGAGATAGTAACCTCAACGCAACCGGCTACACTGCCTGTCCAAAGGGGACACTTAAGTTGAGTCATGCCATAGCTGTAACCTTCATCGCTGAGTTCAAATATTGCAGACCTTGACTGGCCTCTCGACCTTATCAGCACTCGACTACAATGTGGTCAGTCGCTTTCAGCTGTAACTCTCATGGAAGAAGTCCACGTAACGACTTTGTGTTAGCAGCAGCACGCAATTGAATCAACACTCGACCGATTTTTCGCGACACACGCCACATAACGAAACCATGCCTGAGTTTAGATACTTACAACATCTACAAAACTGTGTTCTCGCCAATCTGCGACGTCTGGGTGGTCATTGCCATCGCCACGTCTGGCTGCATCAAAAGCTGCTGCTGCATCTGCTGTATCTGTTGCTGCTGTAATTGCTGGATTTGTAATACCTGTGCTTGCTGCTCCTGGGACGAAGGCTGCATTTGAGGTTGGTAGTGCTGATGCGGCTCGGCCTTCTTCATGGTGCCACGTTTGCGGTCCAGAGCTTGCTGTTCGGCTGTCTCTTTCAGTTTACGAAAAGTAGTGCGTATACTCTTCTTCGTGTGATCGTCGAAACGCAGTCGGTCCAGTTCAGGCAGCAGCACCTTAAAGCACTCGATCAGTTGCTCATTCGTCGCAGGCCCGTCGACAGGCTTTCCCACAGAGGAAGGTGTCGACAAGCCAAGCACGTCTTCCACCCCTGTGGAAGATGTCAGTACGGAGGCCGAAACTTCTCCCGAATGAACCGCATGCATGCTATGCGCTAGACCCAACGTCGATGCCGACGATGCTGACGCTTCAATGCGAGCGTGCAACTCTTGCAAACGCGGTGTCAACTCGGTAGGCGCCACTCCTTGCTGCCTGGCTGCATCCATAACACTAGGTGGTACCCTCTTTACATTGAGCTTGCTATCAAAGCCAGTGTTGTCTGGAACAGTAAACATAAAATCTGTTTCTTCCAGGCCGGCGCAGTGAATTCCAGCGTTCTCATCACGAGGGCTCACAAATTCATCAATAGGCAGCGGTCGCAAGATGTCGAGTGCTGACACTGTGTCGCAAATCTCCTTGTCGATATCCTCTTCGACCGACTCGAATGCTGCCAACGTTTCGGGGTTCGGCTTGGGCACGAGAATCTCCGTCGCAGCCCAACATTTGCGGATGATTTCCTCTGGCAACTCCTGCTTCCAGCAATGGCGCGCCCAACGCATAGCTTGCAGCTGCTCCACATGAAAGACATCCTGTCGCCCTGCCTCAAAGCGATCCAGCGCGTATAGCATGTGGTAGCGCCGATACCGGCGCTTAAACGCCGCAATGATGCCTGCATCTAGTGGTTGTACGGACACCATGGTCGCCATTGTTGGCACCATCGTTGCCATCGCAGATGAGTTGTGGAGGTCCAACATAGACGAAGTTGACGTCTCCGTCTCTGGTTGCAGCTTCGTAGCATCTTCTGTCTTTGTCACATCTGACTCTGTGGAAGACGCATCGAGCATCGGCGTCTCGTTCACTTCTGCCGCTGCGATAGACTGCGAAGCCTCAGATAAACTGGTACTGTCTTCAGTACTAACGGGCATGGCCACTTGCATTGCCATGGACAAAGGCTCCATCATGGATAACGGCAAGAATTCCAGTCGGACATTGGTCAGCTCAAGCCCAAGCGAGACATGAGACGGTGCAGGAGACACGAGCAGCAGAATATAGCGACCTTCATCGCGCATCCTCGTGTCAACTGCCGAGATGTAGTCCTGGAACATAACGGGTGTCATCCACGCACGTTTGTTGTTTTGATAGTAAAAATGACGTGAATCTGCATCAAGTTCCTCAATAAGTTGTGGTACTTTACCCTGTCCAATAAACATGGGCTCCATCCGATCACTAGCATCAGCATTTACTGCAAAGACAATCGTAAGTCTTTCTTCACAATTCTCTTTTCTAGCAGCTCGTCCTCTTCCAGCTGGTTTTTCCGGTGACAACTCATACAAAAGTCCCGTCTCCTGCATACAATAGACGTCCCGTGGATCGTACATACGAGCAGCACTTTGCAACTGCTCGATTGAATGAATAGTACTAGTCAGAGTTACGCCGCTCATAGTATCCATTGCAGATGCAGCAGCAGCATTCCCCAATCGAATATTATATCGCTTTTTAAACCCGCCCAACCACCCATTCGAAAAACTCATTGTAGATGTGATACCCAATTGAGAAGCTAATGCTCGTGCTTGACTTTTAATTATATCACCTGAAATTTTAAGTCCATTATGACGAGCACAAAGGACCCAATTACAAAGTGCTGTATCCAATTCTGGATGTGTAACGAGCCCTTTTCGACGAGCTGATAAATCACGTGGTGCCATTTGTGTTAATTCTTCCGTCCGTGCAAGAATTTTCGAAATTGTCGATTGATGAGGTAAATGAGCGAGTTGAAATTCACGTTTTGCCCATTGACAAAGTTCTTGTTGCGTCATTTTTACTTGTGAAAATTTAATACAAAGTTGACGTTTTTGAAGATTTGTCAAATTGCCCATTGGTTGAGAACGTCGTTTCTTTTTAGCGGCAGATGGCGATGATGGAAATTGTGATAATGCCGAAGGTGGCGGTTCAGAGTCCGATGCTGGTCGTTTAAGCATGTTTATGATTGGTGATGACGAAGAGGGGGAAAATGGAGTTATGTAGTGGGAGTCAGTTTGACAGGCGGAGAATAAAGTGAGGGTGAAGTGGTGTGGTAGACAGAAATTGCATGTGGTTTACGTATGTGTAGACGCAAAAGATCGATTTGATACTGAAAGACTGCGATTGAGAGGAATTTGAAAATTACTCGCTAGTGCCCACAAGTCATTCATGTATTTCAACACTTTATGATGAAGATCACGATCGCCTTTAATACATGCAGCCCATTCTTGTGTTTTTTTGACCTCGATACTCATTTGTTTTGTACTCGAAATTTCCTATACACGCTTTGCATATCCAAGGCAAAGACGCGTATTTGGCTGGTCAATGCCTCAAAGCTGAAGCTAGAAGAGAGGGTCATATGTTGTTCGTGTTCGATAAATTAAAGTCGGTATCACATTAAACTGTCGAACGATGTCTCGACAACATTGGCGCCTGCCCGTATCCCAAACTCCCTTGTGTCTCCCTACACGGCTCCTACACTGTTTCACTCTCAGCAAGTCTTGATGATATCCAGCTACTTGCATTGCGGCCGTCCTTTGACGTAGAAACTTGTAGTGGAAAAATCATTCCAATATCACTCGAGACTGTCGCGCTACGTGGACTCGTCGAATGTTTCAGTATTCAAGACGGTAGACGCACAGGCAACAGTTGCCTGCTTACTGCCCAGCAATTCAGCTCGCGACAGAAGTGCTTCCAGGACAATAACGCTCGTGTCAAGACTACAAATCGTACACAACCACAAGTTTATGCCATCGCTGAACTGCAAAAGTACTTGGAAACCGACAAGATCACGAACTTTGACGTTGGATACAAGTGCACGTTAAATCAACAGATCGGAATGGGCCGTCTCAACAGGGTGGAAGTAGTAACTCAGGTTCTAAAGCCCCACTGACCATCACTCCTGCTACGACAATATTTTCAAAAAAAATCAAAAACTACAACCTTTCAGAGTTAATCTTACAATTTTCAAGTAAATATCTTTTGTCTATTTTCACAAATTTAGAGTGCGCGTAAAGGAAACGAAGGACAACCAGCATGACAGCAGAAGACGTAGACGCGACCGTAACGTCGACAACGACAGAGGAAGAGACGCAGAAAACTATGAATATAGAAACGGAGGAGACTATAACGTCGCCGCATGCACTGGTTTCTCCCGCTGTCTCAACTCCACCAGTCTTAACACCAGTCAAAGTTACGCCAGTCAAACGTCTAATGATCATTAAAATGCAATTGGAAAATTTCAAATCATACGCTGGAAAAGTCGAGATTGGGCCTTTCCATAAATGTTTTAGTGCTGTCGTTGGCCCCAATGGAAGTGGCAAATCCAATGTCATTGATGCGTTGCTCTTTGTATTTGGCAAACGAGCATCCAAATTACGTCTAAAAAAGGTCTCGGAGCTTGTACATCGCTCTGCGGACTTTCCTAACCTTGAAATGGCTACAGTTTCGGTTTTTTTTCAAGAGATTATTGACACGGACGAAGGTGACGCTGATACAGTGACAGATAATGAAGCCAACTACACTGTCGTCCCTAATTCCAGCTTCAGTGTCACACGTACAGCCACAAAAAACAATGTGAGCAAGTACTTTGTGAATGAAAGACCTCGGAATTTTACATACGTGACGGAGTTACTGCAGGAGAAAGGAATTGACTTGGATAACAATCGATTTCTCATTTTACAAGGAGAAGTCGAACAGATTGCCATGATGAAAAGTAAAGGAGCAGAAGGTACGAATGAGGATGGATTGCTCGAGTATCTCGAAGACATTATTGGCTCCAATGTTTATGTGGAGCCGACGGAACGAGTGTGGGACGAGGTGGAACGCTGCAATGACGTGCGTGGGAATAAAGTAAATCGTGTCAAGCTTGTGGAGAAAGAAAAGGCGCATTTGGAAGGACCTCGTGCCGAAGCGCTTGAGTATCTCCGTAAAGAAAAGGAAGTGTACATGAAGACAAACATTCTGTACCAATTGTGGATTCAAGAGGCGTCAAAGAACCGCAAGTTGTGTGAGTCTAAACGTGATGAGCTGCAGGCCAAATACAAGGCAGAGCTAGCACGCATGGAGAAAAATCGTGAAGAATTGCAGTCCGTGGAAGCTGTTTACCAACGAGTGAAGAGCGAGCACGATGAAGTTGCCAAACAACTGGACGAGTTAAAGTCGGAATACGCTGACTTTGAAAAGCAAGACGTGAAGTTGCGAGAAGAGCTAAAGTACGCCAAGGAACAGCAGAAGGAGCTGCAGTCAACGCAAAAGAAAGAGCTAAAGAAGCAGAAGAACATTGAGCAAAAAGTGCAGGAAAATGAGGAGCTAGTGCCGGAGTTGGAAATGGAAGTAGAGAAGTTGCAGACGAAACTCAAGAAGCAAGAGCAGGTGCTGGAGGGTATTCTTGAGGGTCACAAGGAAGAAACGGCCAAGTTACGTAGCACCATGGAGGCTATTCAGCATGATATGGAGCCGTTTCAGACAGAAATGAATGCTCTGCGGTCTGTGATCGACACAACGGAGACGGAGATCCAGCTTGTGGAGGAGCCTGTGACTAATGCTAAGAAGGCACTTGAAGCCAACGCCTGCGGTATAGTCGAGGCCGAAGCGAACCTGCGCGGGCTCGAAGAAGACCAGAATGAGAAACGTGAAAAGCTCGCCAAGATGAAGGACCGCATTGTCGTCGCCGAGCAAGAGTTGGACGACGTTAAAGGCAGAGATACTTCTGTTGCAGAGAAATACCGTGAGGCGCGCACAAAAGCTGAAGAGGCCTCTGTCGCGGTGCAATCACATGCAACTCGGAATCGTATGCTCCGGGAGCTTCTTGATGCATCCAAACCAGGTATGCCACTTGAAAATGCTGGGCTGTTCGGTCGCCTGGGTGACCTTGGTGCAATCGAGGGCAAGTACGACGTCGCCATCTCAACTGCTTGTGGCGCGCTTAACAATTTGGTTGTTGCGACGACTTCGGGCGCGCAAGCGTGTGTGGCATATCTACGTAAACATAACTTGGGACGCACTACGTTCCTGATTTTGGAGCAATTGGGTTATCTTAAGGCGAAGTATACTCAGCATTTTCGTGGTGTCAATGCTCCTTCCGGACACCAAGTCCCGCGACTGTTTGACTTGGTGAAAGTGAATGATGACAAGTACCTGCCAGCGTTTTACTATGCTCTGCGTGACACACTGGTGGCTAAAGACCTAGATGAGGCTTCAGCGATTGCTTATCAAGGACGCCAATGCAAATATCGTGTCGTAACTTTAGACGGACAGTTGGTGGAGATGTCCGGCGCAATGTCAGGCGGTGGTAAGCGAGCCCGCAGTGGCGGTATGTCGAGCACGCTTGCGAGCGGTTTAAGCGAGGATGAGATTCGAGTTCTACAAGAGGAGGCATCGTCTCTGCGAAACGAATTGGAACAGATTCGTGACGAGAAAGCTTCGCTTGAAAAAGAGCTGTCGCAACTGACCCGCAAAATTGAGCAATATGAGAAGGATCTGCCCAAGATCGAGTTGGACGTGAGGGCTACCAAGACGCGTCTCGAAGATTTTAAAAAGAACAAAAGTTTACTGGAAAAGCAAACGACGCTGTCCGCTAATGCGAAGAAGCAAGTTGACAAGCTCAAGAACACGAAGACCGTCAAGGAAGCTGAGTACAAAGCTACAAAGATGAAAGTGGATAAAATGGCTACGAAGCTTGCCAAAATGAAGGAGCAGATTCTTGATGTAGGTGGCGAGAAGCTGCGCAAGGAGCAGGATGTGGCAAATAAGATCACAAAGCAAATTGCTGAGAAAACGAAACAAATGACCAAGATTCGCGTTGATTTTAAAAGCTGCCAAAAGAACACCGAAAAGAATGAGCAGGCCCTAAAGAAGATTGAGGAGGATATTGAAGCAGCGAAAGCGAAGATCAAAGACACGCGTGAGCAGATTTACTGCAATGGAGGAGAAAGCCCTTGCAGTCCTTGAGAAGTGCAATGCCATTCAAGAGCAGGTTACTGCGAAGGAGAAGGAGCTCCGCAAGGACGAGTCAAAGTACCGAAAGTTGAAGAAGGAGTACGACGGGATGGCAAGTGCAGAAGTTGATCTGTCCAACAGCTTGGAGGACTGCGAAAAAATGTTGGAAGAAAACGCAAAGAAAGAGACATTCTGGAAAGCAAAACTTACGTCTCTCCATACAGCTTTCATTACGGAGCAAGAACACAATGCGGGTGTTTTCGAGGATGAATCAGATTTGCCCGCTCGGAAGCGTCAAAAGAAGAGCAAGGATGCTGACCGAGACGAAGCAATGGATGAGCAAAAGGAGGAGCACAGAGAGGACGAAGACAGTGACGAGGAGGAAGACGCAAACTTGGATGTAACGCTGGAGAAGCTTCCAATGTTAGAGGCTGTAGCTCTTTCTCGCTACAGCAAGGAGGAAATGAAGTATGAGATCTCCGTGCTTGAACAGCAGCGTGACGAGCTCAAAGCAAACGTAAACATGAGCGCACTGACAGAGTACAAGCAAAAAGAAGAAGAGTACAAGGCTCGCGTTGTGGAACTGGAGGAAGCAACGAAGTTTCGTGATTTGAAGCGCCGCGAATACGATGAGTTGCGGCGCAAGCGACTGGAGGAGTTCATGACAGGCTTCCGCATCATAACGCTAAAACTGAAGGAGATGTATCAGATGATTACGCTCGGCGGTGATGCTGAGCTGGAGCTTGTGGATTCGTTGGACCCGTTCTCAGAAGGTGTGGTTTTCAGCGTGAGGCCTTCAAAAAAGAGCTGGAAACACATTTCAAACCTATCTGGTGGAGAGAAGACCCTTGCTTCGCTAGCGCTCGTGTTTGCATTGCACCACTACAAACCGACGCCATTATACGTCATGGATGAGATTGATGCAGCACTGGATTTCAAAAACGTGTCGATCGTGGGCAACTACATTAAGCAGCGTACGCGCAATGCGCAGTTCATCATCATCTCTTTGCGTAACAATATGTTCGAGCTTGCAGATCGTCTAGTAGGTATTTACAAGACGAACGATGCCACGAAGAGTGTGACAATTAACCCGAAGATTTACGAGCAAGGCACCACGCAGGCCTCGAACGGAACGACGACGCCAGTGACGAAGAGCTCTAAATGTTCCATAATGAACAGTCCCGCGAGTGGCCGTCGTCAGTCCGTAAAAAAGGCTCGGCGGTCAAGCCAGCAGTCGGTGACGTCCCCTTCAGTACAGCGAAGCGCTACTGCGCCGAGCACACCACTGCAGGACCGAACCAACAGGTCGTAGGTAAAGCAGCGATTCTTCGTGGTGAAGTCAAGCTTTCATTGACGTCGCTGGTGACTATTTGTTGTGCAGTGCATCACCCAGAATGTCAAGCCGACTCTAGAAAGCAAATGACAGGCAAGCGGACATTTAGCTGAGGAAGATTGAAAGTAAGGTGTCTCCTATCAACTACCTCATGAAATACAATAAAGAACAGCTGAAGAGGCACGAACGAAGCTCGTGGAACAAATATCGAGTAGCATAAGCAAAGAGAATGGTCTAGAGCATTTTTCGCGTACAGAGACTTTCACGTATATAACTTCTCAAGCTCATCTTTTTGTAGTATTTGGAATGGTATCCACAACTTCTACCCGTTAATTTGGCATAGCATCCGAGGAGCGCATGAATAGAAAATGCATACGTCATATACACTGGACTATGATTGCATGTACGCCTGATTTATAACAGCAGTATATGGGACGTGAACTGTCCAGCACCCAGGCGACAGCATCTCACCAAAGAATTGCTTTTCACAATGCAGATGTGTACGAGAATTATCGCAGTCTTTCACTCCGGTTTAATTGATGTGCTCCACCTTACATGGTGTAGCTGACATCACCCATCAGGATTCCACTCACAACCAATTCGACCGACCTACTCATCCGGCCATTTAACGTCGCTCTTGGTGCTGCTACTTCGCCTACTACGTCGCTATTCTTTTGCAATTGTCTCCGTTCCATAAAGAGTAAAAGTTTATGGCCTCATCGTTTGCCCATTCTTCATCGCCATCGTCGATAGCTCAGAAGAAGCCCAAACTCAGTCATCCTGATCCTGCACCTGTCTCGTCAACGTCACAGGTTTCACTAACCACTGCCACGTCATCCTGCCGGCTTGAATCGACACCTTGTATGAAGACCATCACTCTGCACTCGGTACGCAATAATCAGCGTCATTGGGATCTGCTGCGTCTACTGAGCCATCGGACGGCTTTCCCTAATGAGACTTCAGCTGTTGCATTGGGCGAGTTTGATCCTGCTACTTCACAGGACACTTTTGAGTTTTTACAGGACGAATGTCGCGTATTAATTATCGGTGCAGGCGGATTAGGGTGTGAACTACTAAAAGACGTGGTCCTATCTGGATTTACTAAAGTGGACATTATTGATATGGACACTATTGACGTTTCGAATTTAAACCGACAATTTTTATTTCGAGCCACTGACGTTGGCAAGTCAAAAGCAGAATGTGCTGCTGCTTTTGTGCGGAATCGCATGATGTCAAGTCAGATGAACCCTCAAGAGCTCATGGTGGACATTATCCCGCATTTTAAAAAAGTACAGGACATGGACGCTGAATTTTACCGTCAGTTTCACGTAATTCTCTCGGGACTGGACAATATTGAAGCGCGTCGGTATTTGAATTCTATTGTTGTGTCTTTAGCTGATGTGGACGAGGACGGAGAAGTGGACCCTTTGACAATTATTCCATTGATTGACGGAGGTACCGAAGGTCTTCGTGGTCAGGCACGAGTGATCATCCCGAGGATCACGAGCTGTTTTGAGTGCTCACTCGAGTCCTTTCCGCCCCAAAAGAGTTTTCCTATGTGCACCATTGCCGAAACGCCGAGACAACCGGCACACTGCATTGCTTATGCTTTCATAGTACTCTGGCCAAGGCTATTCCCCGAGAAGAAGCTGGACAAGGACTCACCGGAGCACATGCAATGGGTTTACCAAACCGCCAAGGATCGAGCTGAGCAGTTTGGAATCTCCGGCGTTACGTACAGTCTAACGCTGGGAGTAGTAAAAAACATTATTCCAGCTGTGGCCTCAACGAACGCGGTTGTAGCTGCCATGTGCGTGAGTGAGGCACTCAAGGCCATGAGCTACTGCAGTCGCTTAATGAACAACTATCACATGCACATGGGTGCCACAGGCTGTTACTCACACACTTTCCAGTACGAGCGCAAGACAGATTGTGTTGTTTGCTCCTCGCAGCAAAAGACGCTGCATGTGGATCCGGACTCCATGACACTGCAGAAGTTGATAGACGAGCTCTGCGGCGACAAGTTTCGGTTGTTGAAGCCTTCGATCAGCTCAGGCACTGCCAACCTGTTCATGCAGGGTCCGCCAGCTCTTCGTGCTGCTACTAGCAACAACCTAGCCAAGACGCTGCGAGAACTAGTGAAGGACGGAGAAAGTCTTACGATCACGGATGCTGTTTTTGCAGGCGACTTGGCGCTGTCATTGCAGATTATGTTCAAGCGGAAGATAAACGATGTCGTCACGTCAATGGAGACTTAAGTGATAATCGAAGTAAGCTGCGTTGCTACTCTCGATTAACATGATCATACTGGCACGTCGAGATTCAACATACTCTTAGACGTCCTAGGTGAGGATGTCTAGATCCAATGCACAGCTATAGTTTGTTTAACTATAATTGTTTGATAATGCAGTATGAAGCATCATGTTACGTGATGTCTTGTTCGTCCGAGCGCATGAACATCTTGACATATCGAGGCGATACGGTCAATGTGCCGAATCCAACACACTATGAGACAGGCACCTGAACATGTTACAACGCACATTCACCAAGGAACGATATCAAGGCGTAGGCGGCAGCAGCCATGGCAGCATGCCACTCTTGTGAAGTTTCGATGATTTTGCATCCAGAGGACGATGCAATGTCATGAAGTGGAACAAGTGTGGAACCACCACTAGCTCGTCGTCTTCATCATTGTCCCAAACCACTAGTCTCTGAAATGGTAACGTTTGTGCTCTCCTACAATAATTCTCTGGCGGGCGTATGTGCACTTGGTCATGTTACGAGTTAGTGAATTTCCTGCGGATGAGTGGAATGATATTCTTAAATGACCAATGCCATACTGTATTTTTAGTACGATGGAAGCCCCTGCTAGTGCTCTCGCCATCCTACTAACTCCGCCAACACACGATAAATTAAATGACGCGAGGTATCCGTAGCAGTTGCACCTATTAATGCATCTACAGGAATTCTATGAGCTCTTTTAGCCGTCATACAGCATTTCGACTCTGGACAAGACAAATGCGCAGACAATGAGGTTGTTTTTACAGACGTGGGTTTCTAGTCGCTGGTGGATAAACTAATTGTCCTTGCGACTGACCTCGTGAACAAAATTGATCAAAAGCTGCAGATGATTGGCAACTTGCTAACTAAGCAGGACGACCACGTGGTCGAGGTATTTTTTATATACTGCATCCGGAAGTAAGGGTAAGGATATTTCGGCTAAACAGCGTGGTAATAAGCAGGTGCTTTACACGATGGGCTGCGAAGCGCAGGGGAAAACAGCGTCTGAGCACATACATAATGACCAGTCTCTGACGCTGCAACAAGCCTCATGCATGAATGCAGTGGTATATCAGCAAAAAGGACGGCTTAGACGATAAGTTGTTGGCATTAGACAAGAAGTTTTCAGAGCTGAGGTTGGTGCCGCCAGATCTGCACTTACAGATCTGTGCGAATCGCATTGACCATCATCAAAGATTGGTGGCAATTGTGGAGACAGTGCAAGGTAACGACGCCTTGTGGTGCGGTAGAGAATACGTGATGACACATACATAACTCTGTCTCTAGCATTTCGATCGGATGACCGGAAGCGTTGCCATAGAGAAAAACATGCATTAACACAAGTGTACCCGATCTAAAGAAGGTGGACAGTAAAATGTGTGGATGAGACACGATCACATTGTGCGAGCATCAAGTAAATTCATACTTGACATGATCGAAACTAAAATAACTGAAGGTAGTCGATACGTCAATGGGTCACTACGCAGTAAGATAATAAATCATCGAAGAAAAGTGCAACTGCGTGGAATAGCAACGACATCTTTAACGTTCAGAGATGAGAAACTGACCAGCGCAGGGTTCGATTATGGAAAAAATTTTGGACACCTCACGTCAGTCACTGCGATAAATCTTCGACAGGCTCTCTCACCTCAAAAAATCTCTCGGTTCGTATGGCTGGATGCGGGATAGACTTGCTCAGTTCGTATGGCTGGACGCGGGATAGACTTGCTTAGTTCGTATGGCTGAACGCAGCATCGGTTCTAAGATTGAAGCGTAAAGTATAATGGAAAAAATCCAAGGTCTTCTTAAACCCAATGTGCTAGGATTTCTGGTGTTCTCTCCCGTGGCAGATTCAATGAGTCATTCACCTAACATCACTGGATTATTTGAGGTTGCGCGCAGCGAGGACTAAACACTTGAGCGATTGTTTGTGTCCACGCATTGCAAAGATACTCACTTTCCAATTTGCCTCCTCCTTCTCTCACCTTCTCTACTAAACCACGTCAAAGCATGAATCTTTCCCGGGTTATTGCATCATTGGGGCTATTGGGCGTAGCTGCAGCTGACTCAAATGAAGTGGTCAAGTGTCCGACTGAGCAGCCAACGCCTACTGTGACACCGGCAATGACCACTACGTCAACTAGCTCAAGTTTTGCTCGCTTCTTTGACCAGAGCAAATTCAAAAACATCTTCCCAGATGCTGTGGAACTCTACAATTTTAATGGGCTAGTAAATGCTGCCAGTAAGTACCCGACGTTTGCCAACACCGGCAACGATGTTAACGACAGACGCGAGCTCGCGGCTTTCTTTGCCCAGACGGCTCACGAGAGCGACAACTTCAAGGCCGCAGAAGAGTACGCCAAAGACACCTACTCCGTGTGGCAGTACTGTGACAACACCACCTACCCATGCGCTCCTGGCCGTCGCTACCACGGCCGAGGCCCCATTCAGCTCTCGTGGAACTACAACTACTACAATGCGGGCAAAGCACTTAACATTGATCTCCTCAACAATCCAGACATTGTAGCAAAGGATACCGCCGTGACGTGGATGACTGCACTCTGGTATTGGATGACGCCGCAAAAGAATGGTCGTATCATTCACAACGTCGTCACAATCGAGGGCGGCTTTGCTCAATCCACCGACATCATTAACGGTGGTCTTGAATGCGGCCCGGACGCTCCTAACAAGAAGAATGAGGAGCAGCGCATCAAGTACTATGCTAAGATGTGCGAGGTGTTAAACGTGCAGCCGCTGGGCATCAGTTCGTGCAATGCGTAGGCGGTATGACGCATTGAGCATGCGTTTTTCTATCGACTATGATTTTTCATCAAACAATTTGACAGGAGCCAATGGATTCATTGGCTCTTAATGATGGATGGCATAAGAGGAATGCGAGAATTGTAATTCTACCGTAACAACACCGGAAGATAAATTGCAATAATGAACATTGTTTTTTTTGCCACAAAGTGTTGTATTCACTTCCTCAGTATAGTGAAAAAGTGGGTATTTCAGATGACATTGAGAAAATGAACTCTGGACGTGACCATCTACGTTAGCATCGGCCTGTTTGCCGTATTTGTTATTATACTCGTCGGATAAGATCTTGATCCACGTCTCATGCAGCGTTTTGTAGTGTTGAGGATAAATGGGTTGCCATCCTTTCGGGCCTTCGCTTCAGAACACAAAGATAGTGGAAACAGCACTAGCCACGACTGACATGAACAAATGGTTAATTCCGTAGCCTACGACGAAGCAGAAGAAGGCCACAATCACGTGAGGATACACGGACATTGCCAGTCGTCGTGAGTCCGTGTCGTCTACAATTAGCACTCCAATGTAGGCGGTCACACGATGCCAATGATAATGTCGCCCATCCAGAAGATGTTGCCCGTAAGGTCATCTTTCACAATGGCGGTCCAGCCCTTGTTTGCAAAACAGCTTGAACTTGCCGTTACGAAGTTGTAGCCGTAGCTGCCTACGTACGAAAAAGCAAAGCAGTGAAGAACTCAATCAAGCTTTTGATGTGCGAAATGATGCACGAAAAACACGAGAGTAGACACGCCAAGCAACAGTTGCCGCTGCGACCAGCTAGCTACACGATCCAAAGCAGATGCTGCCGAGGTGTAGCATCAATGCACGTAGCCATGCCCTCATCGTGATGTACGGCGTGCTGGACAAGCTCTTCTCTGCGGCGACAGTCTCAATGCCGTACTTGGAAGCAAATATGGCGGGTGACCACACTACAAAAACAGGAATGAGATGAGGAAGAAGTGGTCGTTGCATCCGCGTTTGGATGGAGGAGAGATCATTTTAGCTGGAAGCGTCGATAGCTGCAACACTAGAGACGGTGACTTGCCTGTCTGGTGGTGAAAGGGACTCAAATCGAAGATCAAATATGCCATCGTTTCTAGTTATGTCATATTGGCGAAGAAGGCCTATCTGATTGTGCTATATCTATCTCGTCTCTTGGATTGTTTGCTGGTACACCAACAATGAGTAGTGTTGCTGCCTTATCCTTGAATGTGGAATTGCTACAAAGTCGCAATGACTTCTTAAGTCAAGCATGACAAGCACAACACAACGTCGACGCATCGCATGACGAAGTCCGAAGGAAATACGCATGCGATGCGCTGCTAGTGGTGATCCATCTCAGATCCCGAATTCAATATCTAGATATTACTTGTTGCTGGAGGCCACATTGTCGTTTACAGTAATTTTGGCAGTGAGAGCGGAGGGCAGCGGCCCGTGTCTCGTTTAGTGATATTCTTTCGACCACTTTGAGCTCCACATATTGATCGTCCCTATCATCATAGACGCTGGTACTTTTGACACTGTGTCGTGGCTTGAGGTGAGAAAGATCGATGAGGTGTATCATGTGCACGGATCGCCTCCAAAGCGCTACATTCTTATGGCTGCTGGAATTTACAAGGCCTCTGCAATTGTCGTGCTGGCACAAGACAATATGATGACTCAAATGCAATTTTTAACGTCATTCTGATAAACTCTGCAGTGCAGCTTTACCAAATGTTCACGATTATTGAGCTTCGAGATGTCAACAACAATCGGTACTTGGACCCCGTTTTCTAGTTTGGGTCACTGCGCAAAATCTATGAAGGCGACTTTGTGGAGGCCTCCGATGGCGATTTCGAAATCAAATCGAGACTGTCATGCTCTAATGGTCAATTTTGGTCTGCACAGCGTGAAAGTGCCCAACCCACACAGGCTTCGACTGTTACATCAAAACGAAAATGGGTGCAACGCAAAAGTTTATTGGTGAAGTACGCGGTCTAAACTTAAAAAATGCAGTTCAACAAGTAAATACGTATGGAGGTAAATTATACTGCGCAACGATCGCAACAATTGAGAAGCTTTATTGTGATGACGACAGCGAACCCCTTTCCCAAGAGCGGTTATGATGACACATTGTTTGCATCTTATGCTGCGGACAACTTGCTGATTCAGAGCTTTTCTAATCCATCGCTGAATACGTACATCCGAAAAAATTCTCGATGGAAATATAGGCTTTGTACTCCGTAGACGACAGCTGCTGTATGGAAAGCTCTTTATATACATGACGTCGGGAGGAGCGCATACCCTACCAATCGGTTTGCTCCGGGCCAAAGGTAGACCTGAAGATGCCTCATACCTGTAGAGGATCACGAATTACGTCAGTGATGTGTGTGTCGTGAAAAGGACAACTTGCATGGACAGTGTTCTTCGAATGATCTGGATTGTGTGATCAGTTTATGAAGGGTTTATACATTTACTTTAGTAGTAGTTTAACTCTTAATACTACTTTTCATTTGGCAGCACAGTGAAGTAGTTGAGCTATCGTTACAATACCCTTGTGTACATATGTCCGTTTCCACGTAAGATCGTGTATGACGGCGACAAGGTTTCGTGTTGATCAATGTCATGGCTCTCAACCATCTTGCGAACAAGCTGAAACGCCGTTTTTAAAACCGCATCAAGCCGTATACGACTCTGGCAGACCTTCCTCGTCCATCGCAATTCTTGTAGACAATATATTGAAATTGGGAATGGAGGGTCGTCCCCCTAAATTACATTAACGCTTGACATGTTTGAGAAAAGCTTCTTGGTACCAATTTTTTCTATGAATGAGTGACTGACTGATGCCATCGTAGCGTAGTGGATGCGCGCTTGGCGTATACATCATGGACTAGCCACATCCTAGCGCTAGTCTGGACAAGGATTACTTTGGTAAACTAGATTGACCTATCCAATAAAGTAGTAAGCCATCGCGTTTGGCAAGCCCTGTGAGTCGAAAGAGGTGCGAGGCTTCAAATTAAAACCAAGCATGGCCACATCTTAAGGTAAAACCTTGTAGAAAGGATTTTCGATGACGGCTGGAAAACCGTTTTCATGTCGATAGCTCCAAATGTTATAAGGCTCATGATAGTAACAATCATTCTTTATTACTATGCACGTGGTATCGGTAATCTTCTAGCAGCTTGATTCAAGTTAGTGTGCCACTGTAATACTGATAGTACGGTCTATAACAGGTCAATGAACAACGATTATGGTCCGCGATATTGATAAGTAGTTGATTGTTCACCCCTCGCTTCATCACTATTTAGTCCCTAAGTCACATCTTTGATATGAGTGTAGATGACGCAATGAAAGCGATAATCAGGAACAAGCCAGCACCGCCGAACATAGCCATCCAATATCCAAAAGGATAAGATTCCTCTTCGTCTCGAACTGGTCTTAATTTTGACATCTTCTGTTCGGACCTGGTAGTTTTAGAGTCTTTCTGCAGAGACGTGGCAGTTTTAAGGTCCTTCTGCAGGGGCGTGGTGAGTTCGGAGTCCTCCTGCAGGGATGTGGTGAGTTTGAGGTCCTTCAGTAGGGGCGTGGTGAGTTCGGGGTCCTTCTGAAAGCCCTTGAAAACGTTTTTAAATCTGTCGAAAATATTAAGCATTCGCTCTTCCTCCATGTCATCTTGGACTGCAACAGTCTTTTTAGTGTTGAGGTTGCGAAGGGTAGCGGTATCACTCCCGATGGGGGTCTTGCTGGCGTCGAATTGTAAATTCTTCTCTTCGACGCGTTCCTCATTCTTGGTGACGTTACAGAGGCACATACTGTGTGTGACCACCACCAGGAGAAGCAACAAAAAGGTGATATGAATTGGCAAGTTGCTTGTTTCAATGTGTGATAGAAAGAAAGCTAATTGTCGAATAACTTATACTTATCATACATCGATCGGTCTCTCCGGCGTGGACAAGTGACCTGTCAATTCTATGCTTCGTGGAAGTATAAAGTAAAGCGGTTTAAGTGATGGGACCGTGGTCAGTTTGTAATTTAACCTCCTAAGACATGCTTATGAAAAAGAACATCTCCTGCGGCAGCTGTTCCTAGCCCATCCCAATGCGTTGTTGCGTCGTTCGATTCCGGCGCCTTTCCCATTGTAGCGGGTGTGGAGAAGTGCCAGAGAAATGGGGGGCCCTTCGTAGTTATTATAATAACTGGCGGGAAAGATCTCGGTCACTCTCTTGAATGAGTGATAGGGAGTGACCAGGGTCCCGAACTGGTCCAAGGTCCCGAGTTCGGAGAAGATACTAGGATGCCCTACACTACAGACCAAAGGACCAGTGCTGCTAGGACAGCTTAAGTTGACCCCAGGTAACAAGTGGGTCCCATACAACAGGTGGACCCAGGTGACCGGTGGACCCCAGGCAACAGGTTGACCCAGACAACAGGTGGACCCAGGTGAAAGGTGGACCCCAGGTAGCATGCGGACCCCAGGTAACAGGGGCCCAGGGGTACCAGGATACTAGGGCCCAGGGGCCTAGGGGTGCCAGGGTACCGGAGCCCAAGGGTACCAGGGTACCAGGGTACCGGGGCCCAGGGGTACCGGGGTACCGGGGCCCAGGAGTGCCGAGGCCCAGGGGTACCAGGGCCCAATGTCCGAGGGTGCAGAACCGGTACACAGAATATCGAAGATTACAGAAAGTACAGGTACCAAGGAGCCAATTCTTCCTCCAAGAGTCGGCACGTGGCACTTTCCAGATCAAAGGGTTAGGGTTAGGCAAGAAAAGCATACAGAGAATAAGGTAAATAAACACACTCGAATTTGCATTACACGTGGCAGCTTTAAGCGCCCCTCCTAAGCTTCTCCGTCGCTACACCTCTTCCGGGCGGGATGCCCTTTGGCCCCCCGACGTCCAGCAGGTGTTAGACGGCTCAAGCAACGCAAGTTGAACCTCAGGATAGTTGGCCTGAGGTGTCAAGTAAGTGTCAAGACTCTACGACCCGCTACAGGAAGCGGTTTCCCTACGGGGAAGAACACAAAGGGGTCCAAGGACCAAGAACAGTCAGCCACCAAAGGGGTACATAGTACCAGGTGCATCGCTCTCGACTAAGTCGATTGAGCCCAAGAAACCCGGTCCCAAGTGAAGTATATCCACTCGGGGACCACCAAGTCCAAGTCTTATACAAAGACCAAGTCTATAAGTCTTATGCGTCAACCGAGGAGCAAGACCAGCCAAGCCGACGGGTACACAAGGTGAGACCCAAGGCCAATACGACACGGTATCGGGGTACCCCCTCCGTAATTCGGCAGTCCGGCGCTGTGTGTGTTTGTGGATCTCCTACGTTGTTTGAGAATCCACTCCACCACACGGGTTACACGACGATTGGACAACCAATAAGAATGATGTCCTTTACGGAGCTATCAAACATAGAATGCTAATTCCTGTGGTCGTTTGGAAACCATAATCATGTCGACGATATTATTTTGGTGCATTATATCGGCTACGTACGCGAAAAGCGACAATATTGTCTGCCTACCGATCGCTTCGCATGACTAACAAATATCGCTATCTAATGTGCGCCATCGGGCAACAACGGACAAAGACGGAGATCTCCGAGAGCCAGATAACTGGTCCTCTTTTCCTTGGATGGGAAGTCCCCCATAGTGAGGCCAAGGTTTAGGGGGGGGGGCTTCTCCTCGCTGCGCGCGCTCTGAGAGGCTGACAGGACCCCAGGATGTTGGTGCAGGGCCCTCGCTGCTGGGACCCTTGCTACCGGTACCTTAAGATGTGGGTGCAGGATCCTTGCTGCTGGAATCCTTGGATGGTGGTGCGGGACCCTTGCTGGTGGAACCCTTAGATGGTGGTGCGGGATCCTTGCCACTGGAACCCTTAGATGGTGGTGCGGGACCCTTGCCGCTGAACCCTTGAATGGTGGTGCTGGACCCTTGCCGGCGGGACCCTTGCTGCAGGAACCTTTGACCGGTGGCTTCCTCTTAGCGTGGCTGGACTTGTCACTCTCAGTCTCAGAGTCTGGACCAAATATTTCCAAGAACTCGTCTGAGTACGCCGTTCGAATCTTCGTTTTCATTGACGCCCGAGAAGTTGTGTGGGAGGTACGAGGTGATGTGGACTTTGAAGATGGAGCGGGAACCTTGGAGTTGGCCTTAGTTGATAGGTCTATGACCTTTGGGCCGAACTCTGCAGTAGAGGGTACGGGGCCGGAGCGACGACTGGAAGCCCGCGACCTGGCCATTGCGGCGAACATCGAGTCGTCACTACTGCTATCCTCGGCCCCAGATGACCCGGGGCATGACTGGCGTTCCGCTTCTTCGGCTTAGGGGGCGACCAAACCTTGGCTGAAGGCGAACGTGACCTTTTCGTTGTTCTGGGACTTTAACCTTGGTCGGGGCCGGAGTCGATTTTTCCGCCGTGCCTCGAGCGACCGCTAGCTGCTTCTGCAGCTGGTCACGTTCCCGGAGGAGGGTCTTCACGCGGCTCTTGTAGTTGGCAACCTCCTTCTGGAGTACCAACACTTGTTTGGATAGTTCTTAAGGACTGCGAAGTGCGTCCAACTTGGACTCCAGCGACCGAATCTCAGCCGAAGAATTTTCGACAGCCTCGTTGTACTGGTCCTTCCAGTACTTGATCTGGGATCGAAATTCTTCCACTTCCTGAGAATTGTCCACCCGTTGGGCGAGTGCATCCCGGTACTCGGCGATAGCCAACTGGTCCACTACATGCTCGTGGACCAGATTCCGGACCCAAGACTGTATCCGGGGCGCATGGGTCACCTCGGATTCCGTGAGGTCGTCTACGCGACGCTGTAATTCCGCGGTCCGGCACTGTTCCATCTGGTAGGCCCGTTGGAGGACGCTGTGTTCCTCAGCGAGGCCTGGCCCCGTATACCGCGACACTTAAAACTTCCCAAGCTTGAGAGACCTCCAGATAATTGGAGGGCTCCCCAATAAGGTCCACGGTCGGGGCGACCTCGTCAGGGTCAGGTCCAGGAAGTGCGGAAAAAAACCAACGGTCAGGTGCTTGAGACCCGGTGGAAAGATTACGAGAAGTCACTAACTGATACAAGACTTGTGAGTTGGTAAATGCAACCACCCAACGACTCAGGGTTACTTACTGTTAATTCGAGGAGTTTGGACAAGGGTGCACGTGGTCTTACCGCAGTTCGAAAGACCAGCGCGCAGGGGACAGCTGTGGTGAAGTGCCAGGGGGAATTAGAGTCTAAAGGGAATGGGAACAGAGAGCAAGAGAATTTCTGGTCACTCTCCCAGGGAGCGACCACGACCCGGCCTCGCGGATTTACAACCTCACACCAGGCCCCAGCCTTATTCAGAATATAAGGATCCAGACGTGCGGAGTCAGCACAGGCTCCAGGTCCCGGAAACAGGTTCCAGGGTACCAGGGTACCGGGGCCTAGATTAACGGGGTACCGGGTACCGGGTACCGGGGCCCAGAACAGGGCCCAATGTCCGAGGGCGCAGAATCGTTACACGGAATATCGAAGATTACAGAAAGTACAGGTACCAAGGAGCCAATTCTTCCTCCAAGAGTCGACACGTGGCACTATCCAGATCCAAAGGTTAGGGTTAGGTAAGAAAAGCAATCAGAGAATAAGATAAATAAACACACTCGAATTTGCTTTACACGTGACAGCTCCGAATGCCTCCTCTTAGCTTCTACGTCGCTGCACCTCTTCCGGGCGGGATATCTTTTGGCCCCCCGACGTCAGCAGGTGTTAGACGGCTCAAGCAACGCAAGTTGAACCTCAGGATAGTTGGCCTGAGGTGTCAAGTAAGTGTCAAGACTCTACGACCCGCTACAGGAAGCGGTTTCCCTACGGGGAAGAACACAAAGGGGTCCAAGGACCAAGAACAGTCAGCCACCAAAGGGGTACATAGTACCAGGTGCATCGCTCTCGACTAAGTCGATTGAGCCCAAGAAACCCGGTCCCAAGTGAAGTATATCCACTCGGGGACCACCAAGTCCAAGTCTTATACAAAGACCAAGTCTATAAGTCTTATGCGTCAACCGAGGAGCAAGACCAGCCAAGCCGACGGGTACACAAGGTGAGACCCAATGTTGACACGACACGGTATCGAGGTACCCCCTCCATAAGTCGGCAGTCCGGCGCTGTGTGTGTTTGTGGATCTCCTACGTTGTTTAAGAATTCACTCCACCACAGAATCGTGTGCGCTTACGCTTCTTAGTTACACGACAGGCTAATAAAGAATTGTCGGACTGTGTCCAAGAGTTGAGAACTCTCATTGCTGCTATGCAGCAGGGGCCCTCTGGCAGAGGAAGTCCGAGTAACCATTTTTATGGAAGGACTTCGCACTGGAGTCGCCAGGACGGAAGTTTTTCGTGTCCAGCCTTCGACTTTCGAAGAGGAAGTAAGCATAGCGTTAAACGCTGAATTTTATTTTAAATCTGCTCGATATGGTCTGCCCTGGTATCAATCAAATACCTCTAACAGGGCTGAACCCATGGACATCAGTCATGTTGAAGAAGCTGAGCTCAATCTGCTGAGCAGCAAGGTAACATCCGTAGATGTTATATGTGCGGGAGCACTAGGCATCTCCGCCCTAGCTGTCCGTTGCGAAAGCAACGTTCAAATCGGCAGAGCCGAAACCCTGCTCCTAGCCAAAAGGCGAGCACCGCAGGGGAAACGTCAGCTCCCAGAAGGCGCGGGGCGCCCACTGTGAAAGAACTAAGTTCTATTGAACCTTTAGGAGGTAAAGGTAAACAGGGCTTAGCCCCAGGTGGTTCTTTGGACGCTTCCATAGAACAAGATTACAAGCCAGGCTTGTTGGTT